TGCAGCGGCTGTGGAAGGGCAGCCATCCCACCCCAGCCACACGCTGCTGCTACTTCCCTTTCATAGCTCCGGTATTCACCTAACTGAAGCAACCTGTTCAGTTTGGCAACTTAGCGTAAAAGTAGTCCAGGAATAAAAAAAAAATAAATCCCGACAGGTTAGCAAGCTGAAGGGACCTGCCAGAGACACAGTTACAGGAGCCAGACTGCACCTCATAGCAGTAGCTAGGTCTTTGACTAGCTCAAGCTTTCCTTGCCTCATGGTCAGCATCCCCATATCCCAAAAACAGTCTTTCAACAAGGGAAAAGGGTGGGGAAAAAATAAAATGAGAGCCTTCTCTTTCCTTTCGGTGGCATATTTATCCGCTTTCTTGGTGAGTTAAATGTTAGGCAGAAAAATCTGAGTCACTCATTTTGTCTATGCTTAATACAGACACTGACAAGGATGGACAAAGCAGAATCATTACTACTGCCAAATAACGCTCTGCTTTCCTCACATGGTGAATATGGCACACATGCAAATCTTATCTCACCACAGAAAGTGACACTGCACAATGAGATGGTTCAAAGAAGGACAATGAGAACCAACAAGTAAAGGAGCCAATGGATGGAAGTTGAAGTGTGCCAGGATCAGCAAACAGCCAGCACATGGTGGGGAAAAGCAGTAAGAGGGTAAAGAAAGGGAGGGAAGCATATGGCTCACTATTTCAATGCAAGAGTAAAAGGACACTTTGGATTGAAAGATGACAACTAAAACTGAACTAAGAAAGCCTTACACACAAGCACATGTAGTCACTGGAGCTGGAAGTCATATTGGGATAGGAAGCATCTTTGAAGACAGTTCAAGGGTATGGAATGAATTCTTCAAAGAATTCATCACACACTGTCTGCTTCAAGGGTAAGGTATGCATCCCTGGCTTCCTTTTTTCTAATGGTATTAGTTAGGCTAACAAAAGATATAATATTTTGATATGAGATTTGCCTTAGTACAAAAAGGAACTGTCTTGTCTGAAGAAGAAACTGTGTGCCCAAGCATTTGGTCATTTTCTTTAATATACACACCAGAACATATACTTAAATAATTGCAGCAAACTACAAAGAGGATAGGATACTCCTACTGCACAATCTTACCCCTCCAGGGAAAGGATGGGGCGGTGGGGAGGGATGGGGACCAAACAAATCCAAGAGCAAGAAATGCAACCCACAGTTTTTAGCATACTACTGAAAATAGCCCTTTTATCCTTCGGGATTTCTTAGACTTGTGTTCAAAGATGTGGAGGCAAGCCACTGGACAGAAGAGCCAGGTTACATGAACTAGGGTCAGGCGAGCGGGCTAGCACAAATGCTTCCTGCTAAGGCTGATGAAGTGAGAAAGGAGACTAGGTTTCAACCATTTTGCTTTCATCTGCTCTAGTGAAGGAATTCTCCACTCAGCGCCCAAGCAAACACCAGCACGCACTGGACTCCAGGCTCTGGTACACCTTGTGATAAGCAAGCCCACTATTTTTTTTTTTTTGTATTTTTAAATGCAAGCTTTAATAAATTAAATGCTGATAATTTCTTTATGATTTGCAGAGAGGTGGCAAAGACTATTTTAAAGTCCTCCAGCTTTGTTTTTAACGTAGGTGATGACTTGAATATGAATTGTAGACAGCTGCACTTTTACATATACAGAAAAGAGCACGCACGTAAAAGAAGGATTTTTTCACCATCCCTTTTTTTTGGACTTGCCAACAGCATTCGGGAGTGTGAAGTACATAAGTACATTATTTAAGTACACTGATTCCATTAAACAAAGCCGTTTGTTTTAGTCTTCTCTGCAAACACATCTGCCTAAGTGCTCCAGCTTCACAGGGTGCACATCGAGTTTGGAGCATTATCTGTGGGGATTGTGTGCGGTTGGAAGAAAGCAGAGAGATACAGCAGTTGTTAAGGAAAAAAAAAAAAAAAAAAAAAAGAGTAGTCAAGTCTTTACAAGTCTGACAGGTCCTAAAATAATGTTGCTTCATTTAAGAATGAACACGCTTATCTCTGATCTACAGAACCTGACTAAAAGGTTACTTTTCCCTTGCCAGAAAAGCATCTTTAGAAGTTTATAAATGCCTGAACAGAATGGCTGAACCCTGCCAGAGGACTCTGTGGTGAGAGAAGGCGGCAGAAAGCCACCTCCTCACATGTGAAAAGAACACTTACAGAAGAAATTTGGAGGACATAAATAAAAAAAGTCAGTTTCTAGTATTCAGAGCTGTATGTGGCTACCTCATTATTCTGCAGAAAGGCACATGTACTAAAATTTTGGACTCTGAAGGGTGTTTCCTCCTCCTCCTTCTTGGTTGCTTCTGACTAACAAATATTGTGAACAAAAACACAGATTCTGCCTGGAATTTGCAAATCCCCAAAAGCCACCATTATTAGGCAGCACGAATTGTGTGCATGCAACTCTGAAAAGCACAGCAGTTAGCTGCCTGTTGCTATGATCAAGGATTTATGACCAGTTAAAGGATTGACGAGGAAAAAATCCCCTACGCAAATCATTGTATTTATGTGGTAAACATTATTACACTTACTTTAAAAGCACGTATTTCCCACAAGGAAAAGTTGGAGTTCTGTAATTATATCATAATTAAGTCTTTACTTACAAGTCATGTGAGCCTAAAATTTTTATTTGTCTTCAAATGCAGAAAGTGGTAGCACAGCTGTAACCATCCCTGCATAAACACGGGCAAGGCGAGGGCTTATGATTCCCTCTTGTTAGACTCAGCAACCTCCTAGCCAAGATTTCTATGTCTAGAAGTTTGTCTGCTTTTTCTGCCTGCACTGCTTGTTCTCATGCTGTGTTACCAATGAATATTATCTTACAAAGATATTCACACCTTCATTTACTAAACAAAGTGTGTGTGGGGGGGAACACAGATCTTCGAAGTTCCTTCTTAAGTTCTAATTCTTAGAACATAAAACAGTGGGTGGGACTGGCTCCGTGCTTCTCTCTTCCAGTAGCTTATGGGAAGTAGAAAAACTCAGCATCTTTCGCATTGTGCACCATCCCTATAGACACCCCCCCATGCCTGAAGGATTACAAGTGTCTAAGTGTTCAGAAGAGAGAAAAAGCTGGTATTGCCTGAATTTAACTGAACACTTCATGAAATGTTCAACTACTCTTTCTTCCAAAGGACATTATTACTTTCCACAGTACTTTCCCGAATCAGGGCCTAAAAGCATGCCTGCAGAAGGGAAATTGCATTTTGGCAATGTTTTTTTTTGCACTGACAGTGCTCAGCTTCTGCTGTCAACTAACTGGCATCAAGCAGTGCGATCCAAGAGCCCAACTTTCCTTCCAGGTATTCATATTCCCACTCCTAAGCAGCCCTTTGCTACATCTGCAAGGCAAGTCACAATTTTTCCTGGAAGCCAGGATTTGATGAGCCAGGGCATTCTCAGTTTCTTGCCAGCACGAAGCAGAATGTGCTGTTGTACAGTTAAGAGAAAAAAAGGCTTTCAGAAGTATTTCCCCTGGTTCTCAGCATGCAGCACCGAGGTCACATCTAGCTGTGTGTCAGGCAGCCTCAGTAATTCCCAGCTCCACTGCAAAGTGACATTTCAGCCAAAAAACCTTATCATCTTCAGGAAGAAAGGCACCATCAGTACAGAGGGATGCTCCATGCTGGCAACAAGTCATGCAGCAGATCCTTCTGAAATATGTGCTGCAACACGCACAGACGTCTCTTGGAGTGAAGGATTCCAAAAATCCTTAGTCTGAGCTTGAAGCTTTGGACTTAAAAATGCAAAACCAAGAAGCACAAAATTCTGACAGGAATTTCTCAGAGGGACCAAGGAGTTTTCAAACCCATTTGACAACCTCAAGGAGTATCAAGAAGCTTTCTGCTGCTTCAACATTTAGCTTTAGCCCCTTTTACAAGCTGGAAAGCCTGCATCTCAAATAAGGCAGAACAGTGTGACCCAGGAACCTCTCCACTGCGTAGTTAGCTGAGGAGGAACAAATTATGGCGAATATTCACAGGGACATCTGAACAGACTATTCCAGAAAAAAACACCGGTAGTTCAGTTTCCAAACAAGTCCACAAACCTGTATCTTACATTTTAATTTCAGTAAGAGACTGTATACTAACAGGACCAGAAAAATTATAGTGTCTTGACTATGAAAATCACAGTTTACAACAATTTATATAGACCTTCCTTCGTCTTCAGTGACTGCTTGAAAAGAACGGTAGTGAGGTTTCAGCTCAACTCGAAAATATACCATCACCTGTAACTTCAGTGGTCTAATCAGTATTAATTGTCATCAGTTCCACAATTTCTCTAATGAGAATTTACAATACCTGGGCCTAAGGAAAACACTGTGTGGTGCGAGAGGACCCCATGCCAGCTGATTAACAATAGGCAATAGGGCAAAGTGCTAAGTCAATTGGAAGCCATTGTCTCCAGAACCAGAAAGGCAAGCAGCTAATTAAAACATTGTGTGGGAGCCTGCATGAGGTGTAAGAGAGCGCTGGGCCACAACAGGCTTTGGATGTGTGCCCACATACAGAAACACACTATTTAAAGCAACAACAGTTTTGAGAAGCAATGCAACGTTCGTACCTCCTCATCCTACTCCAGAAAAAACACCCCCTCCCTCAGCGTTTTATAAGCGGTCTTCTTTATAGAAGTCACCATGGGTTTCCAATTTTCTTGTTTGACTCAAAGGATTATTTTAGATTTCAGAGGTCAGAGACTAATGGGGGCAGGAGAAACAAAACCAAATGAAAACCACTTATCCTTTAGTCCACATCTAAAGATCAAAACAGAAAATCAGCTTACAAAACAAACCATTTGCTACATTATTCCTCTTGTGGGGAAGCTACACTTCAAAAAAGGTGGGGATCTGGGCAAAATCAAGAACTTACTCTTAGAGACGTGTATCCATGTGCATGAGATTGACACCCAGGCTGCGCACAGGACAGTTATGAACGCGCTTATACCTTGGCAGGGATGATTGCCTGCCTATTGCACAACTGCTCCCCTTCCAGCATTACTTACCGATCGATACTCATGAAAGATTTTATCATATTCATTGCCTCCAATTGTGATTTCTGGAATGAAGCGAGGGATGGCTGCAGGATCCAGCACTCCATCTTTGTCCTGAACACTGGGGGGGGGGCAAGAAAAAGGAGCAGTTAGTATACATCCTGCCCAAAGACAGCAACATCAGTTCTGAGTTTGACCAAGTGTTAGAGAACTAGTTTTCTGTTAAATAATACTTCCATAGGTTTTGGCTGTTTCTGGTTATGATGAATACTTAGGTCTTTTTCCTCACACAGCTACTGTGTTTTTTTCTTCCCGCCCTGGCCTCCGGTTTGTTCCTGCTCCATTTCTCCCTGCTTCTCCATTCCCTCCCCCAAGTTTTTCCTCCATCGAGATGCTCTGTCATTCCTGGGAGCCTTCTTCATAACGAACCTCTAGCTTTTTTGCTTTCCTATACAAGAAATCAGCGAGTTTATTGCATCCCACACACTCTCTTGCTATATCAACTTCATTTAATTGCCTCCTGTTCAATTAGTTTTCCCAAATGAACCCTCACAAGGATTAAAGTGAGATGGTGCTCTTCCCCAGATTCCCATCCTAAATGGATCAACACTGAGGTGATCGCATGGTTTAGAAGCAGGCAGTGCCTCTAGTACCCTCCCTGGGAGGGACCGGGGGAAGCTTGCTGCAGCGGCTCTTACGACAGGTATCAGGATCCACCAAAAAAAATCCATCCCACACGGCACCAGTGCTTTCAAAGAGCCCGAATTTAAAATGTCTGAGAAACTGCTAGAAAGCCACCTTCTTCATACTGGTATTATACATAGACCAACAGTGCCACCTATACGTGTTTGGGGAAAAATACATTTATTTGCAGTCAACAGTGACCAAATTCTAAATTTGACACTTCAAACTGCAAACTGTGGTGTTTTCAGTGAATTGCATTTCTTTACAAATATTTACATACATATAAAGCATATGCCCTGAGGAAAGCAAATTTAATCATCTTCAAGCAATTAATTTTTTTCCCTAAATCACAAATTTTGGGACCTTACCTCACAACACTGAACAGTTTCAACAAGCAAACTAGTCTGCTAATATATCTAGACACACACACTGTAAATTATCCTACTACAGACAAATTAGTAAGGAAATACAATAATCTAGTAAAAGTTGAGATGGGAGAAGGTAAGGATAGATGCCCTTTTACAAGACCAGGATGAACACACCAAAGATGCTTCCTATAAAATACTACGCGATCCGTCTTCGCATACATTAAATGTATATTTCACATGCTGGAAGCCAGGAAAATGAGCCTTCCTTTGCCTCCTCACCAACACAGCAAGAGCTCTTTTCATGACATGCTAGCACAGGCCCTACTGTGGGCCACTCCCAGCCTTCCCACTCCAGGACAGCTTGGAATAACTGAGCTGGAATGGAAGAGCGCACCCAAAACAGGGATCTGATGATGCAACTGTTTTTATTTCTGAGCCCCAGCATACTTCAAGAAGAGCACCTTTGCACCTGCTAAGTCTCCCCTCCTGGGGTTCTGCTGAGAAGAAATCAGCTCTAATACCCACTGCTAATTGACCTGGAACTAAAATAAACAGACTCAGCCAAAAGCACCCCTTCAGGTATCAGCTGTTCATTCCTTAAGTACAGTCCATCCTGCAACCACACCTGTAATTAGTACCAATGCTAGGAGCTTTAATCTGCATTTTCATCGTGCAGAGAGCAGAGCCAGCAAGCTAAGAATTGCTATTTGAACAGGACCACGTGCAGGCAATGTTTAAAGACCTTGCTGAGCTCAGACTTAACAGCACAGGCTGAGGAAGATCCACTCATCTACCAGTGATTATAACATCTCTGGCCCTTCTTCCCACAGAAATGGGAGAGTCCGCTCTCTGCCAAGTAGAAGCAGATGTTCTGGACTTTACAAGTCTGTAGGAGAAAGCAGATAAAATCCGTCCAGGCATACATGAAGTATAACTTGACACACACAAACCAAGTCTACTAGTGAACCAGTCTGCAGTTAATCCATTCCTTCATGAATCTCAGCCAAATGGCAACTGTAGAGGACAACTCCCAGGCACAACTTATTTTAGTTAATGGCCAAGACGGAAAATCTGGTGCTCTTAAAACTTCTTTGCTTTCACAACCACTGGCTCCAAAGAAACTACTGCACAACAAAAAAATGCAAACCTAATGCTACCAAAGATGGATCCTCCAGGTTCAGCTCTGCTCTGTACCTTAAGAAGTAACTCTGAATACTAACTGAAAGCACCACCCAAAGACACCTGTCACAACAATGCATTTAACCACAA